TAGATGGTACTTTTTTAGAGGCTATTTTAAACAGTTAAGCACTAAGCAGACACCAAGCCACTGTGACTTGAAATCTGGTAGCAACTACCCTGGCTTTAATTACTTTTAAAAGATATTTAAAATTCTTTCCTTTCCCTGAGGAGACTGGTGAGGCCCCGCCTCCCTTGCCTCTAGTGACTGCACGTCCCTGTCTAGATTGGAAACGGTTTAACTGGAATATCAGACTTTCACCAAATAACTGCTTGCATTAATCAGGTGTTAGTATATCTATACCATGGAGCCTAAAATTTAGAGAATATATTTGGCAACCAAGTGAATTTTAGAGAAGCTAAGATTTGAATCAGGAAATTTTCTTAGCTGTTGAGATTCTAAGATACGATATATTGAAATAAAAGATCTTTGTAATAAACCCCAAAATACAGGAACCTATGTTATGTGAACTTAATGGCTTTGGTTTAAAGGCACTGGTCATAGGCAAAATACCCTGAAAACATGGTAATGCTTCTTACCTGTCCTAAGAGATTATCACAAAGTCAATTTTTCTGCCAAGTATTAAAGCTATGTAAGCATGGTACATGAGAGCTACAAACTTTTTTCAAATGAAATATTTGTTCTGTTTAAGAAAATATATAAAGTGTTGCTGGCTTACCAATAATACTATTATTTATCAGGCATTATAAATAATAATCATATTTGCCTATGTTCTTTTCTTGGCAGATGCCTGTCTTGTGTCAACAGTGCTTTTCGCTGTCACTGGTGCAAATATCGAAATCTGTGCACTCATGATCCAACAACATGCTCTTTTCAGGAAGGACGGATCAATGTTTCTGAGGTATAAACACTGGATTTAGAAACTATGGACAACACAGTTCTGGTACAAGTCTTAAATGTCTGCCTTGTGATTTAACTGAACTCCCTTTTCCCATTCCCACTTCACATTTTGACAACGTAGGGTGAAAGAAACAGAGAAACTTGGTTGATGATCTCATTCCTACACAAGATATGTTGGAATATGAATATGAATATATATTGAGATTGCAAATCTCTATAAATTCATAGTACAGTTCAAGCCAGCTATATTTGGAAGAATACCAACTGTGAAAAACACTAATGACTCTCTGTTGGCTGTAAATAACATATATTTGATATGATAATAATTCCCATCATTTATTTCAGGAAAGATCAGTTTTCTACCTTTAGGCAGTAACACAGCATCAGTTTACACAGACAGACATCTCAGAGAAATTATTCCTGCAGAACCATGAGAGATATATTTTGAAAGCTGTTTTCGTCGTGTTTTAACTGAGAATCTCAGTAATAGAACTAAAAAGAAAAGGATTTTATATTATTAGGCTCAGAACGGTCTGGGAAAAGGTTATGCACTGAAGTACATTTTACCCTCACAGTGTTTGGTCATATTCTCTATTTTAGCTTTTTTGTTTTGATATAGTTAAAACTAATTTAAACTTATTGATATTATAAGCATATTTCATGATGCTGATATGAATTAGGATTAAGAATATCTGCTATTGAGATGGAATCTAGTCAACAATGGTTGACAGAAGAAGTGCTTCTTTTAAGATTTTAGCAGGGGCTGTAGTAAGAAAGTTTTTAGGGTAGATAGCTACCCAAGCTTAATGAATAGATGATGGCTAAATTAAACATGGGCTTTCTTCAAATAAATTCACAAATTGCCAGCATCAGGGAATCAATCTGAATTGGGACATAGATATGATATAGAGGCATTCATACTTTGCTTCTTATTTTGAAATTGGGGAAAAAAGTGACCCACAGCTGTAGTTTGCACTGGAAATTGTATTACTAAAAACAGAGAATATTTGGGATTAGTAATTGAAAAGGATGACATAGTATCCTTAAGGCCAAGGCAAAAAAAAATCATTTTTTCTTTTTTACATAAAAATGTTAAGCCATCAATATTTTGAAAAGATGAGAGGTGTAAAGTGTCTTCCTTTGATGAGAAAATTAACATATATTTCAGATTGCCAGTAGAAATAATTAGTTTTAATTGAATCTCATAAATGTGGAGTATAACCAACAATGAGGTTGAAGAGAATAAAATGCAAGAAAATAATAAGGAAAAATTAAATTTTCGTTCTAGTTATAATGCAGTTATAGTGCAAATATACCCAAAGAAAAATAGCAATCTTTTAAAAAGTGATTCTCTAGAATAGCAGATATATGTATACACAGTATGAATGTAAAAGTTATTAGGGCTGACAACAGAATTGTCTGTTTAGAAGTGATTATTGATGCTTTTTATCAGAAATGAATCCAAATGACTTGCATACCCAGAAAGAATTGTCAGCTTTGAGGACCAACAAAAAGTTTTAAATGCATGAATCTTCTTTCTAAAATGGCAATAAGGACCAATCTGTTTTTATGAATATGCACTTTCTCAGCTGTTCTGCAATAGAATTCTATTTAGTACTTTGGAAGCAAAATTTCCTAATTTGTAGGTTGAGGAAATGAACAAGAAGGGGAGAGACACAGAGAAAAAAATGATTTATCCAGTCTAGAATAAAGAAGTGACAACTGGGATTTCAATTGTAAAGAAACTCTTAACTTTTATTATAAAAAGTGTGATTTAGATAAGATGTTAAAAACAGTTTCTTAAGTAAGTTGAGCTAAATAAGAATAATTGTGGGGTCAAGGAGATTTAATATTTTTTTAAAAAAATGTAGTTATTTTAGAATTCTTTTAATGACTCAAAGACTTATCTATGATATATTTGGAAAGACATCTATGCCTCATCCTTTGAATGTTTGTTTATTGCTTCCTGACTATGCTCTTTTGTTGGCACTTCCTTTCTTTCATTGGTCTATGTTGAGCCTTTGCGTTAAGCTACTTTGAAGAATCCCTTTGCTAACCATAACTGTGATGACACAAATCATTGTTTCTATTTTCTCTATGCATCAATTGCACAGACCCCCATCTAACTTAATAAATTAATTTATTGAGCCTCTTCAAAATAATTGAATTGCTGAATGTGAGAGCTATGGAACAATTTAGTTACTCTAAAAAGACTTTGCAGATAGTAATACTCAGATACCAGAATATTTTTTGTTTGTTTGTGGCAAAATGAAAGCAACCTTAAACCTTTTAAAGTAAGGTTATAGTTTTCAAAACTATTGAAAAAGAGGCACTTTCATGTTTTACCATTTTGTTCTCCATTAATGCTTAGAGGCAGATTTGCACTCTACAGCCACTCAAATATATTTGCACTGTGTGAATCCTTCTCTTTGCACTCTAGCAGATTTATTATTTAACACAGTTAAAAAACCATATACTTAAGATTGTGGAACTAGCCAGCTCTGACAATGAGGATGTATGACTTCAATTTTGTCCAAGGCATTCACTGAAAACAGTATGATTCACTTTGTGGGCAGAATCAGTTGTTATGCTTATTTCTTAAAGTGTTTCTATCCTACCTTTCTATCTAATACCCTTCAAATTGAGAAACAGATTATTTTAAAAAGTATAAAACAGCCATTAGAGAATTTCTAAAATTATTCCCCAACTATACAAAACTGAAAATAAATAAACTTTTGTAGAAGAAAGTTTATTAAAAAGCCAAGTTTTAGTTATTTGCTGAAGTAGTAACAATGAAGTAGCTATAACATTTCTTGGAAAAGCATTCCCTTCCTATCCTATTTTCCCATCTTCTGAATTTCAGATTTGATTCTGGGGAGAATAAGTATAAGCTAAACTGTAGAATTGAAGACTTGAGTATACTCTCATACTGTAAAGCAATTAATTCATTAGCTTTATTAACTTTTTTTCAGATATTTATTCTGTTCAAATTTTTCATGAGGGGGAGGTGGGAGGAAACACATTCCTATCCCAATAGACCAGTATTTCTCAATCTTGGCACTCTAATTGAAGTTTGGACTTCAATTACTTGGTTGATACTAAATTGATTTTCCATTTCAGTATCTTCATTGCCAATTCTAAGGCTGCTGGTTGAATCTGTTGTTAGTTTACTTTCCTTGATATTTAAATCTTAGTCCCATTCTTTCACTGCAGTTTTTGACTCTTATTACAATTTGCAGGTCCTTTGCTAAGAAAGTAGTGTTGTCAGCATAGCATACGTTATTGATGTTTCTTCCTCCAATTTTAAAATCATGCTTATCTTCTTCCATTTACTTCCTTAATGTATATTCAGCATATATTGGAAGTTGAATAAATAAGAAAAGAATATGTAGCTTTTTCTCACTGCTTTATCAAACTGTGATATGCAAGATATGCAACCTGGGTGTATCCGTGCATGTGTGTGCGCGTGCACGTGTGCACGCACACGCGCACACACACATACACACAGAGTAAAAAGCGCAAAACAAGAAAATCAGCTTATCCAACAAAAGCCTTTTCAAATAAGATTAAAAGAGAGAGAGAGATCAGTAGCCAGGAAGACATTTACTCTCATATTCCCACCAAATTTATTTTCTGGAAAATTAGAAAAAGTTTCTTCTTTTAATATTTTAAAGCCTTTTCAATCTTTTAACAAAGGATTCAGTCATTTAAGGTTCTTGGCTTTGGGTTGTCTAAAGTTTATAAAAATCAACTATCATGAGCCCTTTGGTTTTGAGCGTTTTTTAATGGACTCTAGTTCTGTGCCGAATAAGACCGCATCCATCTAAAATATGGGAACATATGAAGACATAGACCTGGCACTTTTTATTAAGATCTGGGTAGGTAATGACAGGGAAGTAACCCTCCTGTAAATCTGCCCTGTCAGGTTTTATATTGTGCAGCAAGCATGAAAACTTGAAAGGGGAAGAAACAGTGGTTATAGATATCTGTAAGATTCTCAGATGACAATCTGTTGGTTGCCACATGGGTAACGAGGCATGAACTAGATCCATGTTTTCTTGAATCTTTTGGCAACTAGGAAGTACAACATTACTTGAGAGGTTCATTAAATTAACAAGTGATGCCACCTGGCTTGAAAAGGAGAATAGTACAACTTCTTTTGATGAAATCTCTTGATTTGAGTGACTTGTTTGATAATGTTCTCCATCAACTATGCAATCTCTGTCACTTCTACCCTTTTGTTTTTGAGAAAGGAAAGGCGATTCACTAAAGAGAATTCGCAATGGTTTTATCTGGATCTTTTTCAGTCAGGATTCAGTCACATAGATGACAACACATTTTATATAGAGCTGTCTTTGGAAACAATTTTGATGCTGCAATTTCTATGGAGTGTCATTACTTAGGGTCAATATTTCAGGGTAGCATCAATTTTAATACAATACAATAGCAGAGTTGAAAGGGACCTTGGAGGTCTTCTAGTCCAACCCCCTGCCTAGGCAGGAAATCCTATACCATTTCAGACAAATGGCTATCCAACATCTTCTTAAAGACTTCCAGTGTTAGGTCATTCCCAACTTCTGGAGGAAAGCTGTTCCACTGATTAATTGTTCTAACTGTCAGGAAATTTCTCCTCAGTTCTAAGTTGCTTCTCTCCTTGATTAGTTTCTACCCATTGCTTCTTGTTCTACCCTCTGGTGATTTGGAGAATAGTTTGACTCCCTCTTCTTTGTGGCAACTCCTGAGATATTGGAACACTGCTATCATGTCTCCCCTAGTCCATCTTTTCATTAAACTAAACACACCCAATTTCTCCTGAGTTCTAATAAGTTGTTGCATTTGGCTACTAGTAGGCTTCCAAGTCCAATTCAAAGTGCTAATTATGTTTAAAATCTCTACACAGGGTAGAACAGAAATGATCTGGCCAATACTGAAATTTCTAGTAAGGAGCTGTTGAAAATACCACTTTCTCCAAAGGTACTTAGAATATGGGCTATATTTCAG